CATGGCCTAGTGGCTAAAGTCCTTGCCTTGAACATGCCGGGATCCCATGTGGGCACCTCTTCTAATCCCGGCGGCTCCACTTCCCATCCAGCTCCCTGCTTGTGGCCTGGGAAGGGAGTCAAAGACGGCCCAATGCTTTGGGATCCTGCAGGAGGATCCTGTGGGAGACCTGGAGGAGGTTCCTGGCTCCTGGCTTTGGGTCAGCGCAGCACCAACCGTTGTAATCATTTGGGGAGTGAATCATTGGACGGAAGATCTTCCTCTTTGTCTCCTCCTCCTCTCTGTATGTCTGACTTTGCATTAAAAATAAATAAATCTTTTTTTAAAAATGAAGAAAAAAATTTTTTTTACATTTTGCATGAATAGGGAAACCAGGGACACAGTTACAGAACAAGAGAAAAATAAACTGATATCTTGTTATGAAGGAAACCGCTGGCTAGAACAAAAGACTGTTAGCTCTTCATGTCTGGGATATTCTGAAATTTAGTCAACTTTAAAACACGAATTGGACTTGAGACAAAAAATCACGGCAATTTGTAAGCTTTGTCTAACCACCTCCGCTTTCACAACTGCCTGCATGAGCCGGCTGTGTTCTGTGCGTACATTCCTCAGCACACATGGTCACGTCATGAAGCCATGCAGTTTTTTGAACAAAAGCTGCTGGGGTGGGGATATGTTTCATTTCCTGTAGTTCCCAGAGCCAGTTATGGCTCAGCTTGATTACAGTGTGCTCGGAGCCAGAAGAAAGGCTTTATGTCCAGAAGCTTCTCCCGGCAGAGGCTGTGATATTTCCTTTGCAGGGTGGTGTGTAAGGCGAGGGGGCAGAGAAGCAGATGGTTTGTAGGAAGGTGAGTCACTACACCTGCTTAGATGCTATGTAATCCAGCAGCGAAGTCTCCACCAGCCGGGAAGGCATACTCGTCCCTCAGTCTTGTTGGAGACTTAAACTGTCCCACCCAAGACTTGCTGGCCATGCTTGCTTTCACGTCCTCAAGATAATATGTTTGTCTACTCACCCACTGCCACCGCTAAGAGAAAAATGAAGCCAAAACCCAAATACTAGGTCAAAATTCTTTGGAAACTATGACTCAGAGTAAGTAGGAAGAAGAAAAAAGAGCCTTATTGTGTTTGGTTTTAAATTTTGTTCCCTGCCTGCCTGCCTGCCTGTGTTGAGTGTTTTGCATTTCAAATTCAACCCTGGATAAAAACAAACATGCAAGGACAGCACCGTGGCGTGCTAGGTTAAGCGCTTAGCCCTAAGCCTCTGCCTGCAGTACTGGCATCCCATGTGGGTGCTGGTTCGAATTCCAGCTGTTCTACTTCTGATCCAGTTATCTGCGTATGGAAAAGCAACAGGGAATTGTTTAAGTCCTTTGGCCCCTGCACCCACATGGGAGACCAGAAGAAGCTCCTAAGTTCAGATTGACTCAGCTCTGGCTATTGCACAGTCATTTGGGGAATGAGCCAGTAGATAGAGTCTCAGGGGTCCCTCTAGTGCGGACCGGGACTTGAGGTGTGACAACCGCACTGAGGAGAATTGGGACACAGGGGTTGCAGAGGCAAGATGAAGCAATGAACACTTTATTGAGTTATACTGGGCAATTTATACCATATTTTTGCAGGGCAAGTAGGCAGATGAAAGTTATTAAGGCCCGGTGTGATAGTGTAGTGGTTAAAGTCCTTGCCTTGAACACACCGGGATCCCCTATGGGTGCTGGTTCTAATCCCAGTGTCCCTGCTTCCTATCCAGTTCCCTGTCTGTGGCCTGGGAAAGCAGTCAAGGATGGACCTCTGTATATCTGCCTTTCCAATAAAAATAAATCTTTTTTTTTTTTTTTTTTAAAAAGGAAAGTTACTAAGGAAAAAAAAAAGAAACCTATTGGTTAACTAAACAATAGCATGCAAGCTACTTTAGCAATAGATCACAATGGATTTGTGTAACAATCACCAGGTCTCATGTAACATGAGTTACAGGAACCAAGATCGGTAAACAAACAGATCTAACTAGAAAAGGAATCTAACAGAACTTTGTTTGTACTCACATACGTTTAGGCCACAACCACTAAAGAAAAAAAAAAAAAAAAGGAAGATGATGAAGACGCCTCCCACCTCCCCAGGCAGGCTCAGCTAGCTAGGCAGTGTGCAGGAAGTCAGCTTTCTGCCACATTATCAGTCTGCCGAGACTGTCTGAGATTGCAGCCCCTTGGGCATCTGGTGCTCTGGTTCAGGGAGAAAATCTCCACAATTAGCAAATCTCACAATGGAGGACCTCTTTTTCTTCTGCTCTCTGTAAAACTGCCGTAAAAAAATAAATGAATATAAAACTAAGTTTGCAGGGGCAGCCATTTGTCCCAAAGTTTAGGCACCAGTTGGGCCACCCACATCCCTTTATCGGAGAAGCGGAGTTAGATTCCCCGGCTCCAGCCACTGATTCCAGCTTCCCGCCAATGCAGACCCTGGGAGGCGGCAGTGACGCCTCCAGAGTTTCTGTCACAGGTGAGACGTGGATGTAGTTCCGGGCTCCCAGTCATGGCCCCTTCCATTGTGGGCATAGAGTGATCCCGCACACAGGAGTATGCTGTCTCACTCACCCACTCTCTTTCACAAAAGACAAAAACCAAACCAAGCACACAGTGCTTGAAGTCCCTGTTCTGTGGGCACCTTCAATCCCAAAGTGGAAGAGACTGGAATGGACTGGTAAGAAGAAGTAGGGTAGGGAGCAGTAGGAATTCTAGTTACTCAGACAGCAGTAGTTAAACGTTAACCTGGAAGAACGCTGAGAAGAGGATGGCAGTGTGAAGGCCTGCACGCCATGCGGTCCCCTAAAGCACTGCTGAGCACATTGGCGATCAGGGGCAAGCGATCTAATTTGTATTTAATAGCTCCCACCAGGCTATTCGCATTTTTGAACTCTTCGGCAGTGATGGCAAGAGTAAAGCCTTAGAAACACACGGCCACCATCTTCATTGCTAATGTGTTACATGAACTTGACACAAGTTCAACTTATCTGCATTTCTCTTTTCCTGTTAAAAGGATGAAAAAGTATCTGTTTGAAGAGCTACCTGCACTCCCATGATATTCCAGCATAATTTTTCATAGTCAAGATATGAAATGGATCCAAGTATCTTAATAAATTATGATATGGTAGCCTAGTGGCCTTGCACTTGCCAGGATTCCATATGGGTACTGGTTCGTGTCCTGGCCACCCCACTTCCCATCCAGCTCCCTGCTTGTGGCCTGGAAAGGCAATCGAGGACAGCCCAAAGCCTTGGGACCCTGCACCTGCATGGGAGACCCGGAAGAAACTCCTGGCTTCTGTCTTTGGCTCAGCTCCAGCTGTTGCAGCCACTGGGGAGTGAATCATTATATGGAAGCTCTTCCTCTCTGTCTCTCCTCCTCTCTGTATATCTGACTTTGTAATAAAATAAATAAATCTTTAAAAAAAAAAAACCCTTGAGAGGATTCACCAACTGCCTGCATGAGATACAATCCATTAATGAGTTCTCAGGTTTTATCCAGAATCTTGTGAAAACTTAGCCAACTCTACCTACTGAGCCTCTCAGACCTCTTCTGAGAGTCTGTTCCTGAAAACATGTGGACTTGGGAGAATTTTGTAGAAATGTCTAACATGAAATACTTGGAATACATGGGGGTCGGCATTTGGGATGCTCACTGATCCAAGTTACACTAATTAACTACTTCTCCACTTTCTGCAAAATCATGTTTATGTCTAAATGTAAGTTGCTGCCTAAAAAGAAGACCCTGAGGGCTGGTATCATATTTACTTGAGTAATCCTATCCTTGCAAAGCACTGGGATCCCTTATGGGTGCTGATGCATGTCTTGGCTGCTCCACTTCCCATCCAGCCCCCTGCTTGTGGCCTGGGAAAGCAGTGGAGGATGGCCTAAAGCTTTGGGACCCTGCACCATGTGGGAGACCTAGAATCTCCTGGTTCCTAGCTTTGGATCGGCGCAGCACCGACTATTGCTGCCACTTGGGGAGTGAGTCATCGGACGGAAGATCTTCCTCTCTATCTCTCCTCCTCTCTGTATATCTGACTTGCAATTAAAAAAAAAAAAAAGAATCAAGAAAGAAAAGAGCAGTGGCACTGGTCTCCCGATCTCATAGAACTCCTGAGTGTTGCCCTGAGCTGCATGGCTGTCCTTGGGGACACTTCCGAATTTGTCATCAGATCTTGATCAGTGTGACTGTTCCAGGAGTAATTTGTCCTCTTCCAAGCTCCACAGGCACCCAACTCGTACTGATATATTTTACTCCCAGTGCCAGGCAGGCAGCTAGAAGACATTGAACCAATGCTAGTTTTCTAACAAATGGGTGTGTGAGAACAGAACTGGCCGGTCTTAACAACGTTTTCTTGGGCCCGGCGCGGTGGCGCAATGGTTAAGGTCCTCGCCTTGCACGCCCGGGATCCCATATGGGCGCCGGTTCTATCCCAGCAGCCCCGCTTCCCTTCCAGCTCCCTGCCTGTGGCCCGGGAAAGCAGTCGAGGACGGCCCAAAGCTTTGGGACCCTGCACCCGAGTGGGAGACCCGGAAGAGGCTCCTGGCTTCAGATTGCCATAGCATCGGCCGTTGCGCTCACTTAGGGAGCGCTCACTTTGGACGGGGAAGATCTTGCCAATAAAAATAAAATAAATCTTTAAAAAAAACACCCCAACATTTTCTGGACCAAGTACTTCTGACCAGATGCACAAACAAATCTTGAGCACCAATCTCCATCTTCTCTCCCTTCACTGGCTTTGGCTTCAGACATCACATTGCAAGAGGAAAATGGAATTACTCACTAGAATGTGCAGCCCACCAAGCCACCAGCAGAGTGTCTCCAAGGCAGGAGACTGCACTCTGCATTTTTGAGCAAATGCTCAGAGGACTGTCATCGCAGGCGACCTGGAGTGCACACTGAAGTCACACCCTTGGGCCTCCTTTGGGTGACAGCACCGTGCCCAGGAGAACCACGCTGACATCAGAGCGTCTATTTAATGTGAATCAGTCTTTATTTTGCACTTGTGTGGTGCGTTAACAAATTCAACATACAAGATAGCATTACATATTGTAGGTTAGCGTTACAGCGTTATGCAATTTCACACGATTCATGTTAGCTTTTTTTTTTTCGAGTTTTTCTTTTAATTTGACACATTTATTTATTTATTTTGAATTTCATTTTTTACAAGAGAAGACATAAGGGAAAGAAAGACGACCACTTCAGAGAGGGATCAAGGTGAGGGGCAATGTCACGGTCACGGCCATAGTAAAAGCCTTCCTGGAAAACAAACAACGACCGGCCTCATTCCCCCCTTTCCTGAGCAAGCCCCCCGACCCTGCCCCATCCTATCCTCCCTCCTGCGCTGAGCCGCTGTCCCCTCTAGCATATGGTTTGGAGACGCACACATCTCAGCTGTGCCCCGGAAGCAGTATCACGCAGGGAGACAAAGGAGCTGAGACCTCTGCAAAGAAGGACTGACTCTTGGAAAATCAGAAGTGATCATTCCCTAACCTATATTCCTGACCACAAGTGCCTTGTGCAAAAGCTAGGCTGTGACTCTCTTGTCTTCTAAACAGATCCTTAGGAGAGGGCACTCTCCCTCCTCCTCCGCTGACCAGTTATCGCTGGAAAGCACACACGTCAGAAGCCAAAGTCAGATAAGAAACTGGGGACAGCAAAGTCCAGGGTGTGATAGATCAGGCCTGAGGTAGGAGGGAGGAACCCTGTACTTTTTTTTTTTTTCTGGCAAAGACTGAATAGGCTCCTCGGCTACAGGACCCCTGCTACCTCACCCCACCACCCCTGGCTCAGCAGACCCAAAGAATGCAAGGAATAAAGCTACCAGGAGAAGGGGAGAGAGGGCAGCGAGGTGAGGCTGTTCCCCCACCCTCCACCCCCTGATTTGGGTCAGCAGGAACTACAGAGGCACACGGAACAGGGCAAAGACCAGAGGGAGCATCTGCACCTGTTGCTTGGCATTGTTTCTGGGAAAGGAAACCCAGGCAGGCTGCTCCAGCATTTCTGATCTTTCAACATTAAGGCGATGAAGAGGAGCTGTGGCAACCACTTCCCAAGGGGGCTTCAGAATCTCCTGTCAGATTCACATCACAACCATCTCAAACTGCAGTTCTTAGGAAACCAAAAGAAAAAAAAAATGCTTTTCTGCTACGTATGATACAGTATTTACATCCCATGGGTTCCAGGACAGAGCCTAGGGGCTGCGCGCAGGGCTGGTGGTGAGATGGTGAGCTGCATTCTGGGAGATAAAGGGCAGACGGGGACAGACCCAGACAGCAGGTTTTGTGCCCGCCCGGAACTATCCTGCATTGTCAAGAAATCTGGCTTCAAACAACAACAAAACCCCAGAAGGACTAGGAGTAGGGGCGTGGGGGGAGCAGATGGGTTTTGCATGACAAGTGTTAGGGGAACTCCAGAGGCAAGACCGCCATCACTCTTCCATCCTAGTCACCAGTCAGGTCCTGGATGAAGCTTATTTGCCTCTGTCATCTGAACGGCCTCAACATGGGAGACAAGGCCCTACCAGGCGCAGGAGACCAGCATCCTAACAGCAGCAGCAAGTAGAATCTCTCTGCACCTGAGCAACCCAGGCACTGAAGAGGAGGGCACACTGCTTCGCCATGCCTCCTACCACCAGGGGCCGGAGCTTTCTCAGTTGCAAGAACTACACACTCCGGTTTGGAGGAAAAGGCTATCCAGAAAGCATTCAAGTTCCCTTAGTACCCAATTAGTCACTGTGTGTGTGTGAGAAGAGGCATTATTGAAAACTTCCAGGAAATTATCCTTAGGAAGCAAGACCACCAACTCATTCCCACATCTCAGCCACCCAAAGAAACTCTGCAGTTCTGTGGGGTTTAGCGTGTTCAATGGCCAGTGGGATGCTTCAGCCTCTTGGTGACTTCCAATTCACCTGCCAAGAAATGGCTCATGCCCAAGAACAGCGACCAAGGGGGGCTGGTCATTGTCTCCTTTCTCTCCTTGTTCTCACCCCTGCCAACAGCACCTGGAATCAGTAGAATGTGTTCATCAGTGCCGTCTTACAGCTGAATCTGGAGTTTCCAAAACTCCTCTTAGAGAAGTATCTGCTCTGGCAACTCCACGTTCTATTCACTAAGTCTTGGCTGCTGTGTGGCAAGAAGGCTGCCAGTTCAAGTGTCCTGTTTCTCAAGAACTCCTTCTCCCTCACACCCTGCCTTGTCCATCTGACTTCTGTCTCTTTCCTTACTGCAGACCTCTGGACCTCGAACTCAGTCAGGGATAAAAGGGAGAACAGATGGGAGTGATGAAAACCAGGTTGGATAAGGACGAAGTTTTCTTCAACCAAGGTGGGGAGTGGGAGTAATTCTCCAGAGAAGCCCAGTTTTTGCTTTTGCTCTTCTTTCTTTCTTTCTTTCTTTCTTTTTTTTTAATGAGGCCAATTTCAAGTGATTAGCAAATACAATTCGGCACAGAACACAGTTTTCATGGATTAAAATCTGCAACTTGACATTGGCAGTTAGGCTAATTTCTTGAGTTTGTATTACAACATGCAAGCATAAGGTTACATTGTTATATATAGACTGGTAGAGGTCACTTCCTCTCCTTGTGTCCCCCCCCCCATTTTTTAAAGAAGAATTTCTAAATGCTTTGCAAAGGAGAAAAAAAAAATATCATTGCTAAGAGCTGATCTGCAGCTGAGGTCCTGTGGGTGGGAGGTTCTTTGTAGGGGTGTGTTTTGTTAAGAAATTTTCTTCTACAACTAAAATGAGGTTTTGGAGTCCGCTTCGCTGTCACCTCATCTCTGCCACGTCCCTCCCCAGCCTGGCCCCCCGGGGTGGGGTGGGAGTGGTTAGCAATGAGAGGACCAGGGTTAGTACTCGCTCAGACTGTGCCACTTGGCCACAGGCTTGCGCGGGCTCTCGCACACCTCCCTCCAGTGTTCAGCGCCACAGGCCGTGACACTGTGTGCCCCCAGGATCAGCCTGCCCACCACCTCGTTCTTGGTGGTGCGATCGAAGTCGATGACAAGGAACTCGATGCTGATCTCAGGCAGGAGGTCGGTGGGGATATCGTAGATGAAGGACTCATTGAAGACGGGGTTCAAAGTGCACTTCTTCACGTGGGTTTTCTTCTTGGCGATGCGCTTTCTGCCGTAGTAGACGTTCACCTTGACATACGGATCTGGGAGCCCCCGCAAAGAGACAAGGCAAAGGGAGACAGGCCTATGACTCGGTTCTCTCTTACGGAACGGGGGTTTCAAACTGGAGAGGAGGGGGTTGCTTGGACTTCTGGGGACCACCCTCTCTCCTCTCCCCACCCCCCTTGCCATAATTGTTTCCAGCAATTGCAACGGTACATGCACACTGACTGTAAGGGAATCTGACCTCGAACACCAAGCAGGAGTAGAACAAGAAATAGAGCCTGGAGGAAGCTCTCAGCATCAGGAAGCAGCTTAATAGCTTCCGGGTGCAGGGTGGGGGCAGGGACTAAGGGATGTCTACAGTCTTTCTGGGAAATCGCTCATGGGGTAAGCACATCACACCTGGCGAGCGCATCACGGTTAAATCTTAAGGAGCTCAGCTGCGCAGCCAATAGAGGAAATTTACAGGATGGAGCTAGCCATCAAGGATGAGCATGCAGAGAGGAAAGAGGCTGACGTCAAAGGGGTGGGGGAAGGGGGCCTGAAACCAGAGAGGACGCGGGGCTGCAGACAAGCATCTGCTGGAGGGCGGAGGGGCTGTACGCGTCAGAGCCAGGGTGGGGTAAATAGCTGCTACCTGAGAGACCGGTGATGTCCATCTTCGGCAGGTGTCTGGCTTTGAGGACCACCACTGTCATTCTCTGTGCCACCGGCTGATAGGACAGAGACACCTGGAGCTCCCCTCTGCTAATGCACTTCTGCAAGGAAGACATGGTGGGTGAGAATCCTGGGCTGGTTCAGAAACGCTGCTGAGGGGGAAAAGAGTCTGCAGGAGGCTGGAAGGTAGGGGTCAGAGGCAAAGCGTTCATCCCCTTGGGGGCGTCAAGGCCAGGGTTGGGAGCCATGCCCCATCTGCTGGGGTGTCTGGGTTCAAGTGCCAGCTCTGCTGCCAACCTCAGCCTCCTGCTAAAACACACTCTACAGGGCAACAGCTGACTCAAGGGTATGGGACTCAGGTGGGGAACCCAGGTGGAGCTCCTCCTCGTTCATGCCTTCTGCTTGGACCATTCCCAGCCTGTTGTGGCATTTAGGGAGTGAATCAGCAGGTAGGATCTTTCTCTACGTCTCAAACAAATAATAACAATAATAACTATATTCCTATTCTGCTTTACAGGGAAGGAACACAGAATCATTATCGTCACATTCCTAATATTAAAATCACAAAGCCAGTGTGCTGGTATAACAAGCTAATCCTCTGCTTGTGGCACTTGTATCCCATACAGGCACTGGTTTGTGTCCTGGCTGTTTTACCTCTAACTCAGCTCCCTGCTTGTGACCTGGGAAAGCAGCAGAAGATGGCTCAGGTGCTTGTGCTCCTATGACATGTGGGAGACCTAGAAAAGAGCTCCAGGCTCCTGGCTTCAGGTCAGCTCACTTAGGGAATGAACTGGCACATGGAAGATACCTCTCTGCCTCTCATTCTCTCTGTAAATCCAACTTTCCAATACAAGATTTTTTAAAAGATGTATTTATTTTATTACAAAGTCAGATATACAGAGAGGAAGATCTTCCATCCAGTGATTCACTCCCCAAGTGGCCACAACGGCTGGAGGTGAGCCAATCTGAAGCCAGGAACCAGGAGCTCTTCCAGGTCTTCCACGTGGTTGCAGGGTTCCAAGTCTTTGGGCCATCCTCGACTGCTTTCCCAGGAAGCCAGAGCCTCCTCCAGGTCTCCCATGCGGGTGCAGGATTCTAAGGTATTGGGCTATCCTTAACTGCTTTCCCAGGCCACAAGCAGGGAGCTGGATGGGAAGCGGGGCTGCCGGGATTAGAACCGGCGCCCATATGGGATCCCGGGCGTGCAAGGCGAGGACCTTTAACCACTTGCGCCACCGCGCCGGGCCCAATAAATCTTTTAAAAATGATAAAATAAGACCACTTGTAGATGGAAGTCACACTGTCTGGTATTTAAAAGCAAGGACTCTTAAACCAGATTGACCTGGATTCAAACGCTGACTTCAGTTTCTTATCAATGACCTTGAACAAAGTATTTAACTTCTCCATACTTGTTTCCTCATCTCAACAGTGAGGATTAAGGGGCCAGCATTGTGGCATAGCAAGTTAAGCCGTAACCTAGCCTGCAACGCCAGCATCCTACATGGGCGCTGGGCTGTGTCCCAGCTGTCTCATATATCCAATCCAACGCCCTGCTAATGCACCTGGAAAAAGCAGTGGAAGCTGGCCTAAGTACTGAGCCTCCGCCACCCATGTTGGAGACCTGGAAGAAGCTCCTGACTCCTGGCTTCGGCTAAGGTTCAGCCTTGGCTGTTGCGACTATTTGGGGAGTGAATTAATGCACAGAAGATCTCTCTTTAGGTCTCTTTCCCCATAACTGTTTTTCAAATAAACAAATACATTTTTAGGCTAAAAACCAAAGGAGGATTAAAAAATAGGCGCTTCCTCACAGAGTTAAGAGGATTAAACAACATCAAATCTGTCACCTGCAGCCCGCAGACAGACTAGAAGAATGTTACTCCTCCTCTCTTGATTGCTTCATGGGATGACAAAATAAGCTTTTTTTTTTAAGATTTATTTATTTATTGGAAAGTCAGATATATAGAGAAGAGGAGAGACAGAGAGGAAGATCTTCCATCCGATGATTCACTCCCCAAGTGAGCGCAACGGCCGATGCTATGCCAATCCAAAGCCAAGATCCAGGAACTTCTTCCGGGTATCCCACAGGGGTGCAGGGTCCCAAAGCTTTGGGCCATCCTCGACTGCTTTCCCAGGCCACAAGCAGGGAGCTGGATGGGAAGTGGAGCTGCCGGGATTAGAACCGGCGCCCATATGGGATCCCGGGGCGTTCAAGGCGAGGACTTTAGCCGCAAGGCCACCTCTCCGGGCCCGACAAAATAAGTTTTAAAGGCTGTGCAAGAGGAGGCTGAGACCTTGGATGGCGTCTTAACTCTGCTACTTATTCACCAAGTGGCCTTGAGCAAATCCCTGAACTTTGGGGCCTGTGCCTCCACATCACAAGGTTTCTGTTCCTACCTGCTTTGCTGGCCTCAGAGCACGCACAGCCCTGTGTCTTCTCCAGCTAAGCCCTCCTTTGCCCACCCTTCATTTATTCTTCCCCCCAATTTAAACTGTATCCTGGACTCTATTCAGAACTTGGGAAACAAACCCTAGTCCTCTAAGAACAGCAGAGACGATGCCACAGCTGTGAATGGACCTGTGCTTGCTCCGTAGGGGCTCATGCACAAGCTGCTGCAGAAGAAAGTGAACACCTGTGCAAGGGCTCCAGGCGCACAGTGGAGCGCGAGGCTGGCCCTGCTGGGAGACACAGGGAAGGCAGTGAGCTGAGGGCAGGGAGGGGAGGCCCTGCAGCGTGACAGCATCGGCCAGGGCAAAGACACTGGGCCCTGATAGGGTGCCTTGCATCCTGAGAATGGTGTGTGGTGAAGCTGGGTCGCCTGCTAGGAGAGGTGGGGCAGGAAGCCGGCAGGTGGCTGAGGGTGAGCAGCAACGGGGTCCCCATCATGGAAGAAGAGTCAGCAGCCTGCAGGCCAGAGCAGGTCTGCAACTGTAGGAATGGCAAAGTTGTTATTACTCAATTTAAATTATTTATTAGTTTCTTCTATTTTTTTAGATTGATTTATTTACTTAAAAGGTAGAATTACACAGAGAGAGAGATTTGTGTCTGTGGGTTCCACAAGGGCCATGGCTGGGCTAGATCAATGCCAGGAGACTCTCCTACAGCTGTGCCAGGTGCATTAGTATAGAGCTGGATAGGAAGTGGAGTAGTCAGGACTTGAACCAATACCTCTACAGGATGCTGGGGTTGCAGGTGGAGAATTTATACACTATACCACAATACTGGCCCCTAAAGGCTATGATTTTACAGAAGGCTGGATAGAGAACAAATTAATGTAGAGAAAGATCAAAACCAGAAAGCTCAATGAAGAGGCTGCGACAATAGACCGAGGAGGAAATGGAGCTAGAGCCGAGGCTGAGGCAGGGGAGAAGGGTGGGGGTTTTGGGCCACAAGCAGGGAGCTGGAAGGGAAGAGGAGCAGCCGGAACGCAAACCAACACCTATATAGTATCCTGGGTATGCACAGTGAGGATTTAACCACTGAGCCATTGTACCGAGCCATTACATTTACTTATTTATGTAACATGTATTCATTTTTATTGGAAAGGCAGATTTACAGAGAGAAGGAGAGACAGAGAATGTTTTACTTCTGATCTGGCTTCCAGCTAATGGCCTGAGAGCAGCAGAGGATGGCTCAAGTGTAGGGCTTTTGTAACCAAGTGGGAGACCCAAAATAAGCAATTAGTTCCTGGCTTCAGACCACCCCAACTCTAGCCATAATTACCATTTGTGGGAATGAGTCAGTAGATGGAAGATCTCTCTCTAAGTCTGCTTTTTGAATTAAAAAAAAAAAAAAACCTTTAAAAAATTAGTAAGACTTTTTCTTTGCTTTATTCATTTTTTTAAAGATTTATTTATTTTTATTGAAAAGTCATATATACAGAGCGGAGGAGAGACAGAGAGGAAGATCTTCTGTCCGATGATTCACTCCCCAAGTGAGCGTAACAGCTGGTGCTGCGCCAATCTGAAGCCAGGAGCTCTTCCAGGTCTCCCACGCGGGTGCAGGGTCCCAAATCTGGGCTGTTCAAGACTGTTTTCCCAGGCCATAAGCAGGGAGCTGGATGGGAAGTGGAGCTGCCGGGGTTAGAACCGGTGCCCATATGGGATCCCAGGGCATTCAAGGCAAGGACTTTAGCCACTAGGCCACCGCGCAGGGCCCTGCCATATTAATTTTTTAAAGGGATTTTGTGATTCTAGCTTAGAGAATGGAGATGAGACTAGAAGCAGTCAGTTGGAGGAACTGAAGATGTAACATGTTAATAAGATCATCCCTCCATTGTCTGACTCTATTCCTTGCATTCTTCAAGGGCCCAAAGCAATGTCACCTGTTGCAGGGGTTACTGTACAATGCGCAAGAATTGATTCATCACCAGACTTATATCCACCACACTCCTACAACAATGATCATGTATGCCCTTGCTCTGTACTGGTCACCCTGCAAAGACTAGGGCTGCCAAGACAGGCAGTGAGGAGTTCTAGGTTCAGGAACTCCCTGGATGGGGCCTTACCTGCTCAGGTGTGTCTACTGTGGGAATGAGCAAAGATACTAGCAAAGGCATCCATGGCAAATACGGAACATGCCTCAGGCGCAGGGCTTTGATAGTGGGCCTTTAAGCCATCTGGAGGGAATGAAACTGGGACCATACCTCATGAGGTTTTCTAGATACTCCCTAAGTTGAGGTGTCGTGTCAGGAGCATAGAAAAAGGCCTCAGCGCGCTTAGAACGTAGCTCCAGCTGAAAGTTGGACTTGAGCTTTTGGAAGTACAGTACCAAAGGAAATGAACATAACAAGATTTTCATGCTTTTTCTTTGCCAGAATGAAGCTTCCTAGTTCTCTCTTGCCCAAAACACTCATATTGTCAGCTCTTGATTGTATCCGTGGGAAGTCCCTTCAGCCAGTTTAACATCACAGGCTGGTTGCCCTTGCCAACCAGCAGACTCCAGGCTGTTTTCTTTTGCCTCCAGTCAGAATGCGATCAGAGAATATAAACGCATTTCCATCAGAAGCCACACCGCATGGCAAATAATCCCTCATGAAAAATAAAAGGGAATGCCTCTAAGCCATCCAGGTCTGAGCTGCCTACCAGCATCTCCGAGCTATCC